AGTGCTGGTCCTCCATCGATCAGCGCCACCACAAGGATGCGCGGGGGACAGCTGTGTCCCCGGGGGCCTGAGCAGGGCTCAGGGGAGGCCCTGAGAGAAGAGGCTCTGGGGATGGAGGGCCTGGAGCCAGGACTGTACGCAGCAAGCTGAAGCCGAGGACGCTGCAGGGGGCACCAGACGCAGCACTGGCCCCGGCCTCAGCCCCAGCTCCGCAAGTCCCTTCTGCTGCAGCCCCAGTGCCCCACCTGGCCTTCCCCGCCCCCGTCGTCCTGTATTTCTCTTTACTCCTCCCCACTCTCTTCCTTTTCTCCACCTTATTGTCCCTGAACCTCAATAAAATGTAAGTTGTTACCCACTGTGGAATGTACAATTTGCACCGTGCCAGCTCCCCAGGCCGTGCCCTCCCCACCCCACTCTCCCTGCACCATGGCTCCAATGCCCGGGACCTGCATCCTCTGCAGAGGACACGGGCACCTCCCCAGGGGCAGAGCCAACATTCCCCGTTTGGACAAAGAGCACCACATGCTGGGAAGGCCAAGGGAAGCAAGGAACAGGGAGACGCTGGCATGACTGGGGCAGCGCTTCCTCATGCTCAGGGACGCAGACTCAGAGGTCACAGAACGGACCTGCCGGGGGTGCTGTCCCCGACAGCCTCAGTGTCCTCATCTGTGGAATGGGAAGGCAGCTCTGCCACAGCCATCACCGCGTCATGTAATGCGATGTTGTGCACCTCCCTGCACACACTGGGAGCTCACAGCTCCAGTATGAAGTGTGCACAGGCATTGGGTGATTCTTAACTGAGGGCACACGATCAGGTCCAGCATCATACACACACAGAAGCAGTCACAGGCTCTGGCCCTGTGCTCAAAAATGGGTCACTGGTACCTAAAGTAGAGGAAGGATTTGCCTACTGCACAGGAGACTGAGGGGCCTTGTCCAGGACCCCATGTAACCCAGACTGCCTGGTGTGCAGGAGACATGGGTGGTCTTGGCTGAGAAGATGGAGACACAGAGGATGTCCCAAGGATAGTGACCATGTTCCTCTGGAACAGGCTGTGTTTCCATAGGGAAGTGCACCCCAGGCTTTCATAATCTTCCACTGCCGTGTGGTTCTGGCTTACAGATGAAGAACCTCGCAGTCCCTGAGAGCCCACAGGTAGAACACAGTGATACCGATGAACTGAGGGACACTGTTGACCTCTGGGGACCAGCTGCCCTGCCTACAGGTGGACTGAAATGGGTCCAACAGACATGTGTGCACCAGCAAGAGCTCTGTCACCCAGGATTTCCCTCTCCCCAGTGCGCCAGACTCAAGTTCACAGAGCAGAACCAGGAAGACCGACATCTGGACCTGGAAGGTCTTCTGTATTTCCGTGGTGAAGTAGAGGTTGTTGTGCACATGGGGCCTGGGCTACATCAGTAAACAAAGAGAAGGTCCTTTCTGTCTACTCACCCCTGATCAGGCGTGAAGACTTGCGCATCTGCGCAGGAGACATGAGAAGGCCCAGAGAAGGGAGCATCCTGGGCAGACTTACAAACACAGCAAATGATGCTCTAAATACCTAATGGCCCAGCAGAAAATGAGCTTCCAGGCCTCTCATTTACATGTTCACCTCATCCACTCCAAAACATAACTCAAAATAAAGCATCTAAGCATAAATGTTAAAAGTCAAAAATATAAATCACTTAGAAGAAAACTTACAAAATCTTGACAATTTTGAGTGACCCGCAGATTTTTGATACATTATCACAACTATGATACATAATAAAAAGATAAACACTAATTTCTCCAAATCGCAAACACTTCTGATTCAAGAAACACATTATCAAAGTGAAAAAAAGATCACACAGATTCAGACAAAATATTTTAAAAGCATGTATACGATAAGATCCTCTGTCCACAAAATATAAGGAACACTTACAATTGAACAATATGAAAATGAACAACCCAAACCACCATGCGTCAAATATTTGAATATGCATTTCTTCTAAGATGAGCGCAGTAAAAGTTGCCCAACATCTTCAGGCCCCAGAGAAAAGCAAATGGAAGCCACAATGTGACACCAACTCTCCCCCACTTGAGTGGCAGGAGTTTAAACAATGGGGAGGAACCAGAGTTGTAAAGGATATGGACAAACAGACCTCACCCATTGATGCTGAGAATGTGAAATGGTGCAGCCACTGTAAAGATCAAGCAGTTGTCCAAATGGAGATATGAAGAGTTACTGTCGGACTCAGCACCTAGCTCATACTCAAGATAAATGAAAATACTTGTCCCTAAAAAAAGTGTCAAGGTAGACATAGGTTGTTATCTGTTAATAACAACTTTGAATGTAAATTGGTTAAATTCCCCACTTAAAGGATAAAGACTGGCTGAGTGGATAAAGACCAACACTCAAGATACTGCCTGGAAGAAACCCATTTCAGACACACATTACATCAGGATAAAAGAATCTGTCAGAAAGAGCATCTAACAACTGGAAATACATACATGCACCTGAAAACAACACCACCTAAGCATGGAATACAAACAATATTGGTTCTAAAGGGAGGTAGAGACCCCACAACAATAGGAGCTGGGGACTTCCACATCCCACCTGTCAATGGACAGATCATCTAGACAGACAACCAGCAAAGAAGCACTAGACTTAAGAAGCACTACACACCAAATGGACTTAACATTTGTGGAGCACTGCAGAATATGCATTCTTCCCCTCAGCACGTGGAACATTCTCCAGAAGAGACCCTACATTCGCCCACAAAACAAGCCTCAACTCATTTTAAAAAATCAAAATCACCTTTTCACAGGCCATAATGGAATAAAATATTAGTAATCAACCAGAGGAATTGTAGATATCAGCCAAATGCATGGAAATCAAACACCATGTTCCTGTCCAATCAATGGATCCCTTTTACCACTCTCCTCAACACACAACTGGGAGTGCTACCCAGCACAATTTAGCAAGAGCAAAAAATCACAGCATCAATTTGGAAACAACAAAGTCAAATAGTCCTTACTTGCAATCTATATGATCTTATATATAGGAAAATTTAAAACTTCATCAAAGAGTTAAAAGAATTCAATAAAAGTGTAGGATACAGGATCAACTTACAAAACCAATAGCATTTCAATACCCTAGGAACAAATCAGATGAAAAGAGATCAAGAAGGCAACCCAGTGGTAGAACAAGGAGTTGACAGAAATTGAAGAGATGACTAAAAAGTGCAAAGTCATCCCATGGTCATGCATTTGAAGAACTAGAACTTTTAAATGTCCAACTACTATAGACACAATGCAATTCCTCTCACAATACCAATGACATTCTTCAAAGAATAAGAGAAAGTATTTGCAAGTTGTTCCCCTGATGAGATTAAGGAACTCAACCCCAAAAGTCCCCCCACAAAAATGCAATTAAAAATGAGCTAATTATCTGAGTAGATACATGTCAGAAGAAGATATACAAATGGCCAAAAACTACATGAAATAATGCTCAATCATATTAATCATCAGGGACTTGAAACTCAAAACCTCAATCAAAGATTCTCTCTCCCAGGTCTGACCAGAAAAAAACACAATGAACAAATTCAAGGACATGGAGAAAGGGGAATTCTCACACACTCTGGACAAGAATGTCAATCAATGCAGCCCTTGTGGCAAACACTGTGGTGTTTCCCAAAACACCAGAAATAGAACTGCCATATGATCCAGCAATCTGTCTGTGCGTATACATCCAAAGGAAAGGAAACCAAATGTGGACAACATAGTTGCACGCCACGTTTACTGCAGCACTGTTCATGAAAGCCAAGGTATGGAGTCAACCTAGACACTCTACTGGTAGATGAATTGATAAAGAACACCTGGTTACATATGCATAATGGAATAATACTCAGCCATAAAAAAGAACATAGCCATGTCATCTGCAGCAACATCCATGAGCCTGGAAGGTATTGTGGGTTCTTTCTGTTTGTGTATGGTTTTTTTCGGAGGGAGAAGGATTTTATTTATTTGAGAAGTTGAGTTCCAGACAGAGGGAACCAGACAAAGGTCTCCCATACACTGGTTCACTCCCTAAATGGGTACAAAGGCCAGAGCTGAGCCGATCTAAAGCCAGGAGACAGATGCCTCTTTCATGTCTCCCAGGTGGGTGCAGGAGTCCAAACACTTGGGCCATTCTCCACTGCTTTTGCAGCGGAGAGCTGGATTGGAAGAACAACCGCTGGGGCATGAACCAGCACCCATTTGCATGCCAGCACCACATGGGGAGGGTTTAGCCCACTACATCACAGTGCCGGCCCCAGGGAGGACACTGTATAGTTAAACAAATCAATCGCAGGAGGAAAACTACTGCATGTTCCCATTTACGTATGAAATCCTAAAAAGTTGATCTCACAGAGGTAGGCAAATAGAACAGAGTTTACCAGAGGTTGGAAAGGGGAGGGGGGAGTGGAGGGAGGATGGTGGACGGGTACAGAGCACAGTTCACTGTGAAGAGCAATGTCAAATGTTCTGCCACACCGTGAGGTAACCAATGGAAAAGTAATTAATTATGTGCCTCACAATGGCTAGTAGAGGAGATTCTGGATGTTCCCAACACAAATGATGAGTATGTTTCAGGTGACGGATATCTTAATTAACCTGATCAGATCATTATATACCATATATTTACACTGAAATACCACACTGTACCCCATAAACATGTACAATTATATGTGTCAATTATGAATAACCATACATATATTCTATTTTTCAAAAGCGAGTCTAGAATGCCCTAACTGCATCATTCATAATAACCAGCAAGTAGAAGCCATCAAATGGCCAGCAACTGATGTACGAATAAACATATGGTCTGTCCTCAATATAGACAACTCTCCACCCCACAGAAGGGCATACTGTTCTGACACTCCCTATCCAACTCGGGAGCCCTGAAGACATGTGGCTCTGGGAAGGTAGAGAGAGGCAAAGGCCTCATACACCGTGACACTATCAACACGCATGGACATTTGTGAAAGTGAGTAGACATGTGTCTCAAGGGCCTGGAGGCGGGACTGAGAACTGAGTGCCAATAGGCAGGAGGTTCTTTAAGTGTTTGGGGAATGTTCCACAGCTACACTGTGCTGATGGCTACACAGCCTATACATATATTAAAGTCACTGACATGGACACAAGAGGACATACATCATGTTCTGTCAATTGTAGGTCAAGAAACCTGTCCACAGAAAGTGATCTGAGTGATCCAGAAGCAACTGTTCCTTCACTTGTGTGGACATCATGCCAGTTGACCACCCTAGGGCCAGAAGGATGCTGAGGTCAAGGTCTTCTTGGAGACTGGAAGAGGATCTCACAGCACAGAGCCTGGCAGAGGGGAGAGACAGAGCAGTATCTTCACCATCCAGGGCAGTTAACATGAGGTCTGGATTCAGTGGCAGTCCCTGACTTACAGCCCAGAGGCCAAATCCTGCTCTGGGACACTAGGCCTCTGCACTGCTTAGGCTTTGTGCCTGGGGAGCCTCAACTGCAACACAGAACCTATACCACTGTTGGGAAGAACAAATTTATTAAATGAAATGCACCTAGAAGAAAACATGGTACCAATGAGCACAGAACATACTCATCAATGCTGTGGGTTATTCATACTGGTTTCAAAAAAGAAATGAAGGGACCGGGTAAAGCCTCCGTCAGCAATACCAGCTTCCCGGATGAGTGCTGGTGTAGTCCCAGCTGCTCCTCTACCAATCTAGCTCTCACCTGTGGTCCAGGAAAGCAGTAAAAGATGGCACAAGTCCTTGGGCTCCTGCACCCTCGTGGCTGACCTGGAGGAAGCTCCTGGATCTTGGCTTTGGATCAGCACAGCCATGGCCATTGTGGCCATCTGGGGAGTGAACCAGTGGATGGACAACTACTTTCTCTCTGCCTAACCTTCTCTGTGTACTTCTGACTTTAAAATAAATAAATAAATCTGTGAAAAGTAAAGAAAACAGAAGACAAACTGAAATGTAAGATCTGAGCCTTTGAAACAATTAGAAGAAAACACAGGGGAACTGCTTCCGGACAGTGCCATGGGCAAGGATTTCTTAGATCAGACCCCAAGAGCATAGGAAACAAAGCCAACCAGCAGACAAATGGGATTTCACCAAATTAAACAGCTTTTGTACAGCAAAGAAACAATGTCTACAAGCCATCCATCTGACATAGCTGTTAGTAAAGTCAACATAAAAACAACTAAACAGCAAAAACAAGAAACAACAAATAAGTCAGACTTAAGAGTCTCAGTTAGAAATAGACATTTCTTTTTTTTAAAAAAAAAAAGATCTATATATTTACTTGCAAATCAGAGTTACACAGAGAGGGGAGAGGCAGAGAAAGAAAGGACTCCCATCCGATGGTTCACTCCCCAGTTGGTAGCGACAGCCGGGGCTGCGCCGATCCGAAGCCAGGAGCTAGGAGCTTCCTCTGGGTCCCCTACGTGGGTGCAGGAACCCAAGGAACTAGGCCATCCTCTACAGCTTTCCCACACCATAGCATATAGCTGGATCAGAAATGGAAAGCCAGGTCTCGAACCAGCGCCCACATGGGATGCCAGCACTTTAGGCCAGGATATCAACTCGCTGCGCCACAGTGCTGGCCTCGGAAATAGACATTCCTTAAAGTAAGACATGTCAGTGATTCTCCTGTTCCACAGCACTCAAGGGAACTACTTATAATGTGAAATACGGGACAAAAGTGCTCATCACTGATCTCAGAGAGATACAAAGCAAAACCACAATAGGATACCAAAGGAATGAACGATAACTAGTGAGGATGTGTGTGGAGGGGAGGGAACACTTGGCATTCTGTGGGTGGGAATGTAGATGTGGTAAAGAGTAAGGAAGTTGCTCAATAAACAGAAACTAGACCTACCATCCACTCCACCAACCCTACTGCCAGTGTACAATAAAGGGGAAGGAAGTCAGTCTGTGGAAGAGAGATCTGTGCCCCCAATTTTACTGCAGTCCTGTTCCCAGTAGCTAAGGCATGCAAACAACCTACACATCCATCCGCCATGGATGGAAAAAGAAAAAAAGGGGTACGTGTGCACATAGGAATACTACTCAGCTATAAAAAAGGTTGAAATCTTGTCATTTGTGGTACCATGGGAGGATCTGGAAATCACTGGGTTAAGTGAAATCAACCAAGCACAGAAAGACAAACACCACATGACCTCACTCACATGTGGAATCTGCAAAGTGGTGATGCCCTGGAGGCTCAGGGCACAACGGCAGTTGTCAGAGGCCAGGAGGAAGGGACGAGGGCAGTGGACAGAGACGGACTAGTATGAGTCACAGCTGACGGAGCAGGAGTCTCTGTGCTTCTGCTGCGTGGGAGAGGACAAGGCTGTGTATCTCCCTAAGAAGGCAGACACAGCCCCGCAGTGTGGCATTTGCTTCCCCGCAGGAACAAGCCCAGTGAACTCGGGGGACAGAGGAGGTGGAGGTGGGGAGCAAGGGCTTTCCACCCCTCTGCTCACTTCCTGCAGGGCCAACCAACAAAGATGAAAGTCCAGGGTGATCACACCATGGACAGGACCAGTCCTAACCCTGTGATTCCCCACAAGCTCAGGTTACACTCAGGTCTGAACTCATGCAATCCTAAGCCCTAAAAACCAAGGACCCAGATAAGATGACCTTGGTGAAGTTCTAGGGATGCTGGGAAGGGAGATCCCGCCCCAGTTCCCTGTCCTCATGCACTGACACTCAGTAACGGCGGCCGCAGCAGCTATGAGGGTACAGGTGCAGAGACTCAGGTATCAGGATATGACAGAATCACCTTCTGCAATCCTGAAAAAAATGAGGAGGGGGCTACTATGCCCATTTTGTAGCAGGGAAATTGAGGCATGGGACAGGGAATCCACATAAAGCCACGTCACCTCTCATGGCAGAGTCCAGATCACACCCTGTCTCTCCAGCTCCTCATTAATCTCCTGGTTCCACTCCTGTACCCCAGACCTAGGGGCTCTCCCCTAGGCACTGGACCCAGATTGTTCTTGCTCCGGGGCACTCTGGGCACTGCAGGGTGAGGGGCAGCATCTCTGGCAACCACCTGACCCAAGCCAGGAGCACCTCCCAGTTGGGCCAACCACAGTGTCCCTTAAGGAGGCACAATCTCCACAGCTAGGAACCAGGACCCCATGGACAATCTTTACTCAGTGGACAAAGAAACTGTTTTTTAAATTTTTTCATCAATTTTCATTTGACTTGAAAAGCAGAAAGAGAGGTGGAGCTCTCATTGGTGGCAGGGACCCAAGTGCTCGAGCCACTGCCTGTGCCCCCCAGAGACACGTCAGTGGGAAGCTGGATTGGAAGCAGAATACTGGCAGCCAAACCCAGCACCCTCATGGGGGATACAGGCATCCAAGCTGGCAATTTGACCTCCTGTGCCACAAACCCTCCTGCAACAAAGCTTTTAAAAACAAATCCAACAGCCTGCACCACTGCCTGCAGTGCCACCATCCCTTATGGGCACCGGTTCAAGTCCCAGCTGTTCCACTCTGATCCAGCTCTCTGGGAATGCAGATGATGGCTCAAGTCCTTGTGCCCCTGCACCTGAATGGGAGACACAGAGGAAGCTCCTGGTTCCTGGCTTCCAATCGACCCAGCTCCAGTTGTTGGAGCTATCTGAGGACTGAACCACAGTGGTTGGAAGACTTCTCTCTCTCTGCCTCTGCCTCTCTGAAACTCTGCCTTTCAAATAAATAAATAAATCTTTAAAAAAAAAAGAGACCTAATACTCAGAAAAAAAATTCAGGAGCCAATGTTGTGACATGGCAGGTAAAGCCACCACCTGCCTGGCAAGCATCCCAAATGGGCACAAGTTCAAGTCCCTAATGCTCCACTTCTGATCCAGCTCCTTGCTGATGTGTCTGGAGGCAGCAGAAAATGGCCCAAGTACTTGGAAGTCCCAGGTTTTCGCCACATCTGCAGGTCAGGAGCCTGAGTGCTACAGGCTCAAGGTCTCTCCTGAGGTTACATGGTGCCATCTGGTGTGCTGCCGTCTCAGTTCCTTGTGGCTGTAGGGCTGCATCCCTGTTTTATACCTGGCCTGGGTGGTTTGCTCGGAAGCTCCTGTGGGGTGAGCTGATGTACGGTCAGGTTCTTAATCAAGTCCAGGTGAATGTCAGGTCCCCTCAGGCCCTGGCTGCCTCACTCAGTGTCACACACATCGTCTCCCTTTACAGTGACACAGTCGCTGATTCAGGGCCCTCCACCACAGCTGCAGAGTCTGTCCCACAATGGGATACTACAGGAGAATGACACTGTGGGTTGAGACCCAGGATCAGGTGTCACCCGTGGGGCATGGGAAGGTATCCTGGGGTAGGGGGCTGGGCAGTAGGAGCCAGGAGGAGAGCAGGTCAGGCTGTCCAGGTAGAAGCAGAAGGGGGCCCCCAGTAGGTAGGTTGTGCTGCCAAGGAGCAGGGAGCCTGGACGGAGACGCCTCCCAGGATGCAAAATAGCTCAGCCCCTCTCAGGCTGCCATCAAGAAGATCCAAAGGTGTGCCCTCCAGTCAGGGAGCCACACCGTGAGACATCAAGGCTCAGTAAGCAGAGAAATGAGGCTGGAGCAGAAGTGACAGTGGTGAAAGATCCGCAGACCCAAGGCCTGGACAGGAGTCTCCAGGATGCACGGCAGACCCATGCCAGCGAGGAGATGTCCCCAGATGTCACTATCCCAGCACCTGCGGGCCAGACCTGATACAACACCTGTTTGCTTCCTTTAATCGAGCAGAGTCCACAAAACACAGAATTTTAGAGCATGCAGCTCAGCTACGTTAACAACATTCCCATGGCTGGACAACCCTCACCATCCTGTCTCAGTCAGGGTCCCAGACTGCCTTCCTTGGCCTGTGCACTACTCAGCCTGCTGTCCGCTCCCACTGATCCCGATGAGCCGTACAGGCTGAGGGAGGACACAGGCAGCTGGTCCTGGGTGTCAGGGCACTCATATGCCAACAGGACAGCACAGAGCCCACTCGCAACCCTATGTGCCACTCTGGATGTCCGGTACACTCAGGCGCTGCTGAATGGAGACTCCGCCTTTCAGTTTGGTTTGCCTTCATCTTTTTCTTAATAAAACTGCAAACCTCCAAATAATAAGAAAAAATACAGTCAAAGAAATGTCTACTTATTTTCACCTACTTGAAAGGTAGAGAGAGAGACACACGGAGAGAAGTCTCCCATTAACTGGTGCACTTCCCAAATGCACACAACCACCAAGACAGGACCAGGTGAAGCCAGGAGCCAGAAACTCCATCTGCGTCTCCCATGTGGGTATCAGAGGCCCAGGGACTCAAGTCACCGAATGCTCCCTCTCAGTGCATCCAAGAGGAGCTGGATCAGAAGCAGGGCAGCCAGGTCTTCACCTGGCACCCAGATAAGAAATGGGGTTGCCCCAAGGGGAGGCTTAACCATCTGTACCTTGACATCCTCAATTTACTTTGTATTCTGACCAAGAATGCGAAATTATTAGGTGCACTGGTGAAATGAGCTTCCACTTTACTTTTTTCCTATGGGTACTATTTCTTTTAAAGATTTATTTGGTTTATTTGATAGAGTTATGAAGAGATGCAGAGGCCAAGAGAGAGAGGTCATCCCACTAGGTCGCTCCCTAAATGACTGCAAAAGCCAGAGCTGAGCCAACATGAAGCCAGGAGCCAGGAGCTCCTTCCAGGTTTCCCACATGGGTGCAGGGGCCCAACGACTTCTGCCATCCTCGGCTGCCTGTCCCAGGCACATTAGCAGGGAGCTGGACTCGAAGTGCAGCACCCATATGGGATGCAGGCACTGCAGCCCAGGGATTTAACCCACTGAGCCACAGTGCACGCCCCATCTATGAGAATGTTAACCATATAAATTGCAACAGATATATTCTAAATATTAACTGCATACAAATACACAATGCTTAACTTGGGCACTTTCAAATCTGTTTCTATAAAAATACATGTCCCCTTTATAAACAGGTTCCCCATTACAGAGATGAAAACTCACTTCATTTCTATATATGTAAGCAGTTTAAGAATACTGCCAAGGATCAGGTCAATTTTTTTCCCCAAAAACGTTCTAAAGATGTCCACAGGACAAAAGAGGATTCACTACAGCCTGCTGACTTAACCCTTGGTTCACTACCCTCCTTCACAGGTACGAGATCACCCTGGATAATCTTCCCAGGGAATCAAAAATGCAATCCGTCCTCTCGTGCTGTCAGAACAACCGCGGAAAGCACACTGGGGACACTCAACCAACACCAGTGCTCACGTGACTGAGGCAGTCGTCTTGGACAACAAAGAAAGACTTCCATCCAGGATCCAGAAAAAGCAGGAGGCTGGGAGATGAAGAAGTTCTGGAAACGGGGCCCGTGTTGTGGTGCACTGGATAAAGCCACAGCCTGCAAACCCTCACATCCCATGTGGGCACTGGTTCCTGTCCTGGCTGCTCCAATTCCAATCCAGCTCCCTGCAAGTGGTCTGCAAAAAGCAGAGGAAGATGGCCCAAGTACCTGTGCCCCTGCAACACACACAGGGTACTGGGCAGAAGTACCTGGCTTCAGCTTGGACCAGGGAAGCCACTGCCACCATCTTGGGAGTGAACCAACAGATGGAAGATAGCTCTCTCTGTCTCTCCTTTTTCTGGAACTGTGACTTTCAAAATAAGAAATAAATCTTTTTTTTTTAAGATTTAGAAATTCTAGAGATGCAGATGAGCCTCAGATGGCAGATTTCCCATGCAGGGTTCTCAACACAACAAAAGGATATGGAAGAATCACAGAGCGCAAGGGCAGCGCAGCCATGTTCTTGTCAGCCCTTCAGGGAGAACCCTACGGGAGGAAGTCACGCATCGCCAACAGGATGCACACCCAGCACTCACCCCCTACCCCTCCTACACACCCAGCCCTGCCTCCTCAGCCAGCTCCCTCCATGGCCTAGCTCCTCCAAGTGCACCCTGTACTTTGGTTAATATCGACACTTGTCCTTCCCTAAGTAATACAGCAGGTGGACGAAGACCAAAAACTTGAGTCTGTTCCTCCCGTCATTCTCTCCACAAACCCTGCACATTCAGGTCATTCTCATGCCTCCACGTCCAGACTACAGATGCCAAATGGCCCACAGGACAACAGCAAGAGACTCAGGAGGCAGCAGCCCTGAGTGTCCACACATGAGACACAGCTCCTGATCCGCTGGGGGCTTGCTCCCTACAGGAACTGAGCCTGGTGACCCAGGGCCCACAAGTTATTCGGTGGTGACCCCCAAATCTCCTGCCGTGGGCTGCAGACACAGACCGCAGTGGAGACTGGGGAGTGACTGTCCTGGTGAGACTGGAAAGAGTCTGAGGTCTGAAGGAGGAAGATTCTGAGCCAAGGCTCCCAAGTGAAGCCCTGCTCCCCACTCACACACACCTGACCAGCATCCTACTGCACTCAATGCCAGCTGACCCCTGCTCAGACTCCCAGCATGCTGGGTGGACCCCCTTCAGCTCAGCTCCCAAGACCACCACTCTCCAGCCCAGTGTTCCTACCCAGCCTGACTGCTTCCCCCATGAGTGCTCCCACCCTTCAGCAGAGATCGCTCCTCTTCCTCTCCCCAACACCGGGCTTGCTGTCCCCAGAGGCCCTGCCACCTCCTCTGCCTCACTCGGGCAAAACACCCACAGCAAACACCAGCACAGCCCTTAGCATGGCCTGGCCCTGAGGTAAGCACTCACCCAGAAATGCAACAGACTCTAATGAAGTGCTATGGATACCACTGAGGAGAATCCCACAGGACTCCCAAAAATGAGTCACAGATCACGGCCCACACAATGAATAAAAGGCTCTGGACTGTGGAGAAAGCCACTGGTAGCCCAAAAAGAGTTATAGCTCACTGCTGCCCACAAACAAGCAAAAACAGGAAATAAAAATGGAGTCACTTATGCTAAGCCAGAAGCTGATGACATCACTTATGTCAAGCTCAGCGCTTGCCAGAAAGATGCTCCTCATCAGACTGAACAGACATCCCTGGGCAGTCTGATAACCTGTATGCTACAGACGACAACCTCAAGTTACCTTCCTACTCGCACAGGGATTGGCTGCACCCCAGGAATACTGCAGATACACCCTGTCCTAAACAACAGATTGGTGGCACCCCGGGAAACTCCCAGAGGGAGCACAACTGATTGGTGACACCCTACCGCTCCTGGAGACTCTCCCTTCAAAATGACAAGGATAAAAGGATCATGGTCCCGGTGTCTGTGAACCTCTGGATCTTCACACATTCAGAGCTGAAGAGGCAGCCCGTTACACATGGATCTGTAATGGCACAAGATGACAACCGATCAAGGGCCCAGTGCATGTGAACCTCTGGATCTCCTTACACATGGAGCTTAAGAGCCAGCTCACTAGCCCCCTTGCTAAGCAACACACGGTGACTACAGGACCAAACCCCAGTGGAGCCACCGCCTCGCCTGGACCCCTTATCAGCCTGCTGCCTGGCCTGACCACACAGCTGGACCAGACCTCTCAGCACGGGGACCTCTCCAACTCCTTATCTTGTCGTTCCCCTGGGAACTCCTGGCTTCTGCTCAGAGTGACAGCCATCCCACTACTGCATGCCTGTAAGTGACTGTTCTGAGATCCATCTCTCCGAGTGGTAATGAGACTCTGGACTCTGGACTTTGAACTTTCACTTTTTGGGAATGTGATAGGAACCTTAAGAACACAGCATTTATAATGATATTAGCCATATGTAATAGGAAGGAATGTGCCTCGACCCTATGATTAAGAATGTCTTCTGCTTCGCTGTACTTATATTATTACAGTTGGACTGCCTTTGAGATTGCTTGATGCTAGGTGTGTGTTATGATGTGTGGAGTAATGAACATAACTACAGAGATTGGTTTGCAGTGGGAAAGCCCTAGTGTGAATTGGAGTGAGCAATAAAAAGCCTTTCATTGGGAAGACAGTGTCGTCTCCGTGTGTTCCTTCTTCCCTATGCTCCGACAATTCACCCTTGAGCCCTGTCGAAATGCGTGACAGCAAACACTCACTACATACCACCACCACTGCTAAACTCGGGAGACACCCACACTGTACATTCACTCCATTACAATTAGTAACACCTCTACAGCACACCCTACCCCACAGGCCCCACAACTCTCAGGTGGACACGGCTCCCCCACTACTGCAAAAACCGTCTCCATAAGCCACTGCCACTTCTACAGATTCCTCCAAGTAATTCTAAGAGTAAGGCAGTGCTATCCAACTCTACCAGACCACTCTTCCAACTCCTGGACCCTCAGCTCCAGGGCAATCTCTAGGAATTCACCCTACTCAGATACCCTTTTTTATCCTCTGTTCACATCTCTCGCTTTAAAGCACTGTACCCCGTTGCTATCTTTTGTTGTGATATTAGCCCTTGACTTTGTCAGAAACCAGCCAAACCGAATGGACCCATAGCAGAAGACTTCTCTCAGCACTCTCTCTCTTCTGGGTTGCATGCTTTACTACGGTCTGCTGCTTCTAACCTGCTGCCCTTTTTGTGGTCCCCAATTCTATATATCTCTCACATCCTCCCAAAGCCTCTACACAGCTCTCATCAATGCTTCCTCTCGTCTCTTCTTTGAACATAACCCCACCATCACTTCATGCGGGATCTGTACATACTCTTCCCACTTCCCAGCCAGTCTGGACAAAGGCCACAGGACTGAAGGGATACCCTGTACTTTCCCCAAAATAGGAAGAATTCAACCAACCTTATATACCTATCAAAGGCATTTTCTCTGTGCTTCGCTGACAGGTCAAGCCCTTAAACGCATCCTACGTGTTCCCTTCCCTTTTTCCATGAAGCAGGATCACTGTCCCACAAACTCTATAACTGGACGATTACTCTCCCAGCCTCCCCTGTTTCCTCCATTTCCTTCCCCTACTCCCACAGGTTAGCGAAATTAGCCACAAAGGCAAATACTCCCACTCTAACTGAACCATCACTGTCAGGACCCAGCCCAAGGATGCATTGGTGAACATGCGGGGGACCATAAATAGAAGCATTCTTGCTCTGTGGCATCTAGCTGTACAACTGTCTTCCCATGAACTGGACAGGCACGTGTCCTCTCACGTTCCTATTTCACCCTTTCTCCTATACTCTCAACCAGACTTGATGTCCCATACCTCAAACACCCCATGTCAAGAGTGACTTGGACTTAGCAACCCTTCTTCCTTGTTGGGTGTTTTTTGCCAGGGATTGGGCCAGGAGCAGCCAGACTGGCAATTTCAGGAGACAAGACAAAGAAATACAAAGAATTATGTCTCACTCTCAAAGAAAACATAAATGACCCAGCACCACACCTGTCTCACTTCCAAGACCAGGTAGAGTCCTGTCAGCAGTGGTCCTGCAAAATCACTGAGGATTTAGACGTCCTCACCTCCAAAAAAAGGAGGACTTTGCCTCTGGGTAAAGAGTGTGGGTGTGGCGAGTGCCGCCATAGCTCAATAGGATAATCCTCCACCTGCTCGCCAGCACACCAGGTTCTGGTCCCGGTTGGGGCACCGGATTCTGTCCCAGTTGCTCCCCTTCATTCCAGCTCTCTGCTGTGGCCCAGAAGTGCAGTGGAGGATGGCTCTAGTGCTTTGGCCCTGCACCCGCATGGGAGACCAGGAGGAACCACCTGGCTCCGGGCTTCGGATCAGTGTAGTGCGCCGGCCCCAGTGGCCATTGCGGGGTGAACCAATAGAAAAGGAAGACCTTGCTCTCTGTGTTTCTCTCTCTCTCAGTGTCCATTCTGTCAAAAAAAAAAAGAGTGTGGCTTGTACACCAGTCAGTCAGGTGCTGTGAGAGATGCTATTGAGCACATTGAAAAGCATGCTAATGAAATGTAAGAATGCATTACAATACCCTTGCCACATCTTAGCCATCTTTGCCACTCTGGGTAACTTTTCTACTACTTTCTTTTTTCCTCATAATCACGGTGCTTTATTCTTATGATATATAATTGCACATTTCAAAAGTGCTCACAGGAACCAGTGACTGCTAGATCCCAAGACATCCCGCAGGAACATCACAAGACTGCTCTTCTTCTCCAGTCACTCTGGACTACAGCCCTGCATCAGCAGGAAGTGGCCAATAGGACACCAGCACCCATCTCTCTCTCTGTCCTGGGAGTAGGAATACAGGACCTTGAGCAACATCATGGGCAGAAGAGATGCCGTGTTACAGCCACATCACTGCCTCAAGAGTTCAACCATTATCCCCAGCACTCTGGAAGGTTGAAAAAGCCAAGGCAAACCATCTCAGCTCTGCCTAATCCCTGCCCAGCCTGAACCAAAAGTACCCAGGCTAGATAAGCCCCAGTCTCTACCAGAACGTGTCCCGACCCTCGCTAGTAGTGGGCCCTCAGGTCTGTCTCTGAATAAACAGTCTCTAGCTACTGAGTTCGTAGTTTGTAGTCTGTCTTCCCTGTGTCTTGTGCATATTGTCTAAAACACCATCAGGGAAAGAGCAAACCAGACAACACCAGCATTCAGTCCTCGGTCAGGGGAAACCATTAGATGGATTCCCGGCAAAGGAACATTCCGTGTGTTTGAGTTCAGTTGCTTATTCATCCACTGATCCACTCCCCACACACATGCAATGGCACCAGGGGCGAGCCAAGAACCAGGAAGTCACCCCAGATCTCCCTGACAGGTGGCAGTAACCCAAGCATTTCAGCCTTAACCCCCGAGGATCTCTTTAGCAGGAAGGTGATACACATGAAACCCAGGCACTCTGATACTCTGATGTCCCAACCACAAAACACAATGCTCACACCCCACTTTTATTCCCAAATAAAACACCACTCACCTGGACGGATACTAAAATGTCCTGCCAACAACACCTCAGCCAGCACACGTCTGGGCCAAGACTTCAACTCAGATGAGACTGAAACCGCAAGTTGTAACCAGGAACCTATAGGAGGAAAACACCCTCATGTTTCAACTGCCTTGGAGAACCTAAGAACCAATTCACACCTACCAGATGACAAAGAGAAAGATGTCTGCTGCTAGCAACACAAACTTTGGGATTCTCTACTGAGTCCACCGTGACCTCAGCCATAAGACCAAAAGGGCCTCACTTAGAAATGAAAGCTTGAAAGGGCTGGGCCCTGTTGGCAACCAGTCCTCTGCCTGTCACGAGCTGTTCAACCACAGCCCTGACACAGACAATAAAGATGCTTCCTGCTCCCCCTCTTCCATGGCTTATAAAGGAAAGGGGACCCCTAAAGTGAAAGTAGGGCAATGCCAGGGCTGAGAAAAGATCAGCAAGGGGGCTCCAAAGTCAAGTCCACTTGCTGTGCTGTGGCACACTGTCCCCTAAACTGCTCCAGACTACTTGGAAAAAAAAAAAGAGGGTTCCTTTTTGTATGTAGGATCCAAACTGAGGAGGCCCTCCCTTAGTACCATAACTGGGAGGTGGAGGGCTCAATCTAAGGCGCTGTGGAAGAGGTAGCTGTGATCCAGACACGCACCCTTGAGGGCAGCCAGGGCCTCCACCAAGCCCACCATCAACACCATGACCTCCCCCGGGAGTCAGGAGCCACCAAGGGAATGAAATGGCCTGACCCCAGATCAGGGCAGTCAGCTCACCCTGTCAGTGCTCATCACCAACTTCATAGTGTCCCATGTCTACAGGGAAATACACTTCATTGTGTCTATTCATTCAAAATAGGCCCAGCACTCAATGTCCAGTCTACCATTGCTTTAAGAAAAACAAAGAGCCAACTGCAGTCCCCTCTCCTTAGTCCCCACCCTCCCAGGGAGGAAGCCCCAGAGCAGGTGGGCCTCAGAGGCTCTAATTCAGCCCCTTCCCAAGAAGAGCTCACTGCCCAGAGAGGAGGGGAGTGAGGCCTTCCAACCAGGCTCTGCTGGGGGGGGGGGTGTTTATCCAGACGCCCACCAGGTGCAGGCCTCTTTCTGCTCTCACCCAGACAGAGCACCTCCATCCCACAGCCTTGCTTTACCCTCTGTAATATGGAAGGTCTGATGGAGACCACGCATTGGCCTCCTTGCCACTCTAAACGTCTGTGCCCATTTTGCTTGCATGTCCCCACATCTCTGGGAACAGCAGATCCTCCCTTAAAGTAGGCAACGCCCACCCAATCCAGCTTGCTGCTGAGAGGGGCCAGAGCTTTTCTGGAATCCAGGCTGAGCCCTTGCCCCACCCTCTCCCAGTGCTTCATTCTAGACCCAGCCCCCTCCTCAGACAGCCAGCCTGGCATTTAATCCTCCCTGCACACCTGGCCACAGGAGAGACAGGCCTCCAGTCAGCACCTGAAAACCCCACCTCTCTCCCAGCCAGCAGGGGTCTACACCTGCCTGCAGAGAAGAAGGCCCTGCAATCCCTGAAGGGAAGTGGCTGCATGCTCTGCCCCACCGCAACTGTGCAGGAAGAGCCCAGCAGATCGGCCAGCACTTACCGGTGGTCCGGGGACAGCGCAGGCCGGGGACAGGTGCCAGGCGTGGGCACTGCAGACACAAAGGTGCTATGGCGGTTTCGGCGTCTGGGATGCCAAAAGAGGCTTCCAGCGCCCAGGAGCACAGGAGAGAGCAACCCCATGCTCCCTGGGCACACAACATAAAGGTCCTGAGCCCAGAGTCCGCCACCAGCTTTCGACCGCCAGGGGGCGTCTGCCTCGGCGTCCACTTCTGAATCAGCACAGGCAGCTGGCTACTGACATTTCCAGGGACCCCGCAGGCAGCAGCGGTTTCAAGAATCCAGAACCGTGACCTCAGTCCCCAAAGCCGGGTTGGGGTGTAAAGGCCCCCATCGTCCGCGGTGCTGAGGGTAAAGCAATGCAAGCAGCAGCCGCGGGACTCCGCCCAGGAAGCCACCTGGAGCTGGCATCCCAGCCTCTCATCTGCGGGAGCCATGCGGGGAGGGGTGCGGGGAGTGCCCCAGCATGGGGGCCTGCGTGTGGGCTGTAAATGCAGTCTACTCTGTTAGAAACTTCTAATAAAGTATTTATGGGGAAAGCATCGGATACCTCCAAGGACGCCTGATAAAGAAAATGTTTCCAAAATGGTGTCCCGGCGGGAGGAAAGGACGCCATCGTCATGGCGGCCTCCTCTTTCCGTTACCCGCTGCTGTGGCCCATTCGGGACTCGCCAGGGACGCTGGGAGGCCGCACATCCGGGTGTCCGCAGTCAGGGCCCACTAGCTTCAGGCGTCCCCACATAACGAAGTGAAAAGTAGGCCATGGGAAGAAGGGTTCCCCCAAAGAAACTACCCCCATCGTCTGCCTGGGCTTCTGCAGCAGGGCGAAGGGCATGGCCAAGGCCAGCCACAGACCAGAGGGCCCCTCCTGCTTCCGCCCGGGCCAATCTTCATACTTCCTCAGTTCAGCAAATGGCGGCCGTCTACTCCCCTGGCGGAGAACTGCACCGCGCTGTGAGGAAAGCCTAGCTCAGGTCTGCAAGATCTGACTCAAACTGGCTTCTTGCTGCTTCGGTGGTGGTTTGTGGCGGTCCAGCCACTCTGAGTTCAGTGTAAAAAATTCTGCTCCCCGGGCACATCAGGAAAACAAGCTCTAGGCAGTTTACAATCCCTGCCCCTGTTCCACATCTCCCCTCCCCATTTCGCCCAAATCCTACACATTAGGCTACAAGGTGCCCCCTGAGACATTTCACTCCCACTCTGGGGGGTAAAGCACGAAGTCATGCTTTTGTAACTACTTCTTGTTGATCCTGGACATGGCCCAGGCTGGTGGAGAGACACTCTCCTACTCAACATCAACAAAGGACTTCAGACACCGGGTGTAGCCCCCAGAGGCTGTGGGCAACAGGGCAGGCGTCTAGAGGCATCCTCACCTGACATTCAACGTGGCGCCCTGTTGAGCAGCAGTCTGAGGTCTGACAGGGGCTCTCCAAGGAGCCATCCGGGGTGCAGGAGAGACAAGGAACTTCTCTGCTCTCAGCTGTGGTGACTGCAAGGAGTCCCATGGAGAAGTTTAGGAGAACAATCAGTGGTAAACAGCGCCAAGTGTGGTCCTGCCAGAAGGGTTTAAACTGCTCCTGAAGAGAGCTCAGTTTACAATCAAGGGGGTGGGCTGCCTAGTGTGTTGGTGAGACTAGGTCTGAGGTGCACATCAGATGAGAGCAGCCACTACCTGTCCTCATTGTGTTATCTTGTTCTCATTTCCAACCTTTGGCAGGTTAAGGGGCCAGCCCAATTGGGAAAGAGCCTTCCATAGATAATTCAAAGGGGCTGAATCCTAATTCCTTTTTGTGGCTGCTCTAACACAGGCTAAGGCACTTGGAACAGACCTTTAAGCACTTCTCATGAATTTCTTGGCAAAGGCTAACTGATTCATATTTAGGGTCTCACTAGATGGTTCCAGACATTTGGGGTCTCCAGGCAGTAAGTCATTTGTACCTTATGCTTAAAACCTAGGGACTCCAGCCATCTTGGAAACCAAAACCTATCCATTACCACTTTGTCAATGATAAGCAGCCCACATCTCCAATTTCCCTCTACAGACTTTTATACAATATTATTTCTGGGAAATAGACACAGATATCACACATGTGCTGATTCACCCCTGAAATGCCACTACTGGGGCTGGGCACTCAACTGAGGTCTGACACATGGGTGGCAGGGACCCAACCAGTTGAGACAGCATGTGCTGCCTCCCCAGGACTACATACACAAGAAGCTAGACTCAGAGTGGAGGTAGGCCTGGAACCTTAGCATCACCATGTGGGATGTGTGTAACCCCACAGTGTCCAACCTCCTGCTTCAAATCCCACCCTGAGAAGCTTTCAATGCCTTAGACATGCACTGCTGCTCCATCCTGACTTAGACACAGAAACGTCTGATTTCATAGCCAGTCTCTTCCCAGGTGGGATGCAGAGCTCAGGAAATGTGGGAGTCAGAACTTTTAAACCAGGCCACAGGGCAGAGGTTCCACTCCTCTCTCTGTCTGCTCTCACTGAAACTCCTTTAACAGCTCATTTTGTGACTCCAGTGTCCATCCTCTATCTCTCCAACTTGTCCTATCTCTAGGGTAGACAAGGGCTTCACACCGGATTTGGATTTTATCCAGAGGCCGTCTGCAGAGCCAGTAACCCATTGGACTTCTTCTGTTGAGGGGAGCTGAGCCCTTCCCATCTGGGGACACCTGGGCCACTCCTCACCAGTGTCCTTCCAGCTTGCTGTAGGCACATGGGCGAGGCTCTAAATTAGCCGCTGACGTATGGATGGGCGTTTTGTGGTTTCACGCTCACCCCCATGTCAGTGTCCCTCATCCTATTGGGGTCCCTGGAATAGACAGGAAAGCCAGCAGCAAGCCAGCAGCCTGCCTCCACATCTTTCTGTACCCATGCAGATGTTCTCCATGTTATGGCTCACGAAACACAGTAGGCAGTGTCCACCAATAAAGAAGAATAGCCTTAGCATTGATGGTGTTTAGGTTTTCTGGACACTCTGAGATAGGAAGCATCTGCTAGAACCACCCGACTTCCCTGGGCATCAGGGTCCCAGGAAGCCTGCTGTCTATCCTATCCTCTTTGGGATGTCGAGTTACAAGAGTCAGTTGTGGGATGGTTTAAGTCCAAATTCCAGCTTGGAAAAGAGTCTGCCTCCCCCTCCCCCTATGGACAGGTGCACAAAACTGGTGAAACATGAAAGCCTCTAGGGATGGGGGAGCAAGAAGAATAAAATCCCAGATGTACCTCAAGTGCTGGGAAGGCAAAGCCAACATCACAGTCATCCATTGAGAAGCATGAAATTCCCTCTCCATTTCTACCTATAGAAGGCAGAGGTCTCTAACCCTGAATAAAGTGGCCCCATGCTGTGAAGCAGGGAAGGTCAGACCCAGCAACGCACAGACCAGGCTCAGGGTTTCGCAGACCTCTCCCTTTGCACTCCTCTGTCTCCCAGGGGAGAACCTGACCCCAGCATTCTGGCGTCCTGGCAAAGGCTGTCCCTTTCTCCTCCACAATTCTGAACTGATGCTGAACTTCCGGTCCGGGCAATCCTGTCTACGATAAGGAAGACACTTATCAAACTGCCCAAATGACTCAGCCCTGATTCCCGTGAGATGCTGGACAAACAGGAGTGCAGGTGAACGTGCACCTCTCAGCTCTCTGCATCAGCAGCTCAGCATGGCCAGGTCCCAAGCCACACCTGAGTGCCATAAGGTGGAGTAAGTGTCCCCAAGACTAAGTGCTCCTGGATGTGCTGCTGCCACCATTGCTCAGATCTTGGTGATGGACAACTTGACCCAGGATGCAGCAAGTGTTACCCACAAGCTGCCTGGCACTCTTCAATCTGACAATACCAACTGCTTAACTCCCAGTTCCCAGAAACCCCTACCCCAGGTTAGGAACCATCTCACATCTAGAGTGTTTGTGCATCAGTACAGGTGACGCCAGGCCTAGGGGTTCCTTGGCACTACACAACTGATGGCATCTGTTGCAAGCACATGCTAGAATGATCCCCAGAAACCACAAGAGAGACTGAGAATGTCCAGAGAGGGACGATGAACTGTGCAGGCTCAAACTCGTACAAAGATGAGAGAGCAGGTCCAAGCCCAGCTGTGGCACTGTCTGGGCCCAAGCCAGCCCTGTGGCAGGTGCTGCCTGTATTGGTGCAACTGTGGACAGTGGGTACATGGCGTAGGGGTAAAAGTAGCATAGGCAGTGCCCAAGTAGAATCTGAGGATATCTTGTGTGAGGAGGGGGCTCAGCTTAGGAGCCACAGGAAGTGACCTCACTACGTTGGTGATGACCTAGAGAACTGGGTGCCCCAGCAACCACCCCAACATTCCAGAGTTGAGTCTAAGCCAGCTCACCTGGATAGAGTCTCGTAGCAAGATGTTCCTGAGTTGTATCCCGCGATGCCGAAGCCCAGGCCCCAAGAAACCCTGCTGTGGGCGCCTCGCCCAGTGGTGGGGACGCTGGGCCAGCCCTCACCCCCGATGCTCCTGGAGCTTCAAGCAGAAAAAGGCCAAGGTGAGTCTGGCAGCCAGGGCAGCTCTCTGCTGACCAGGACACCACTGAGACCCCATTGGTAGCCCACAGGCCCGTGGGTGTGGGTGGACATGGTCCACTTCACCCTTGGAGGAGGGAGCCTGAGTTAAGAGGCGGGGGCAGCCTGAGGCCCAGAGCTGCTGGCTGTGGAGGGATCCAGGGACTGCCTCTTACCTGCCATTCTCTGCTCTTGTCTCCCAGGTCCAGGACAGGGCAGCCTCGCACCTGGCACAGCACAGCGGGCTGGGGATCTCAAGCAGCCCAGACAACCGTAGGCCAACTAAAACTGATGACCTGTGTGTAGTGGGGGAGTGGTCAAACTCACCCACAACTCCAAAGCTCATGTATCGGGCATTCCCCCAGGCGCACAAGCCACCTGAGGGCCCCCTCAGTCACTTAATCTTGGTAAAGGCCCAGATAGAGCCCAGGGGGTCCGCAAATGCCCATCTCACAGTGGAGGCACTGGGGCTCAACGACTTCGCCTGTTCCAGATGGGAAGCAAGCTCAAGGCTGGGCCTGGAACCTGACCTGACAGCTGGGGCAGAGCAGAGCCATGACCTTCAAGCAACACCCCCACTGGAGCAGTCATGGCCCTCCAAAGATGAGTGGGGGACAGCTGTGTCCCCAGCTGCAGCCAAGAAAGCTGCAGGAGCACCAGACACAGCACTGGCCCCGGCCTCAGCCCCAGCTCCGCAAGTCCCTTCTGCTGCAGCCCCAGTGCCACACCTGTCCTTTCCCGCCCCGGTGTTCCTGTATTTCTCTTTAATCCTCCCCATTGTGTTCCTTGTCTCCACCTTATTGTCGCTTTACCAAAATAAAATTTAATTGATTACCCACTGCGAAATGTGCAATTCACACCATGCGAACTCCCCATACTGTGCCCTCCCCACCCCACTCTCCCTGCACCATGGCCCCAATGCCAGGGACCTGGAGCCTCTGGAGAGGACATGGGCACCTCCCCAGGGGCAGAGCCAGGGTTCCCCGCTTGGATAAAGAGCACCAAGTGCTGGGACAGCCAAGGAAAGCAAAGAACAGGGAGACGCTTGCACGGCTGTGGCAGTGCCTCCTCATGCTCAGGGACATGGACTCTGAGGTCACAGATCTGACCTGCAGTGGGTGTTCTCCCTGCAGCCTCAGTGTCCTCATCTGTGAGATGGGAAGGCAGCCCTGCCACAGCCATCACCGGCACAGGGAATGCGATGCTCTGCACCTCCCTGCACACATTGGGACCCCTGCTTCCAGTATGAGGAGTACACAAGAAAGGGAAAGGGTCCTTACACTGAAGGCACAGTTTGGGTCCTGGGGCCACACACACACACAGAAGCCATCACAGTCTCTGTCCCTGCACTCAACAATGGGTCACTGGCAGAAGGATCCGAGCAGGGATTTGCTCACTGCTCAGGAGACAGGGGGGCCTTGTCTGGGACCCCATGTGCCCCAGACTGCCTGGTGTGCAGGTGACATGGGTGGGTCTTGGCTGGGAACATGGAGACACAGAGGATGTCCCCAAGCACAGTAACTGCTCTTTCCTGAGCTCCTGGGATTTCCCAGCCCCTGGCCAAGCACACGGGTGACCACGTCTCAGCCATGGGGAGGCACTGCTGTCACTCCCCATTTGCAGATGAGGAACCCCCAGAGAGCGAGGCCCCACCCAGGTCACGGCTGTGCTGATCCCACATGAGGACTCCCCTCCCCACCGTAAGCCCAGACTGTCAGGCCCCGATGACCCTGTGGGCAAACAAGAGGGCGGTACAGCAGGCCAGGAAGGAGTGGGAAGGGTAGGACTTTCTCCAAGACATCATAGCCACAGGGATTTACTTAACAGGCTTCTCAGCTGATCCACTAGGGCTGAGGGATGCCTGTGGAGGAGGAAGCTGGGGCACTGGAATGCTGACCTGTGTGTGTTCCTGGGAATGGCCTGGATCACACCCACTGACAGCACTGGCCCTATGACTGTCCCTCTGGATAATGTCCCAGATCACCTGCTGCCTGTGCACCCTGCACACCTGGAACCTGGAACCCAGGTCAGGCCAACTGGAGGGAGTGGGTGGCACTGGGTGCACCTGTCCTGCAGAGTGCCAGGCAGCTCAGTTTGGCTGCCTTGGCAGGGAGGGCCCCAGGGATTCTGTGCTCCCCAGCACTGGGAGGGCACAGAGTGGGGTGTCCACCACTCAGGACAGACGATATCCCCATCTCAAGGTCATGAGCTCATGGTCATGTTAGTTCCAGGTCCTGGGGTCTAATAGCTGGAGCCCACCCCCAGGAGGCTGAGCTAAGTGTCATCTCACCATGTCCAGTGGTGCAGCCTGATGCCCTGATGAACTGTAGGGTCCTAGAGAGACAGGCTGCCCCAGGACAGTGGACAGAGCGGGCAGAGGCCAGAGATGCAAGCCCTGGGCTGTTGTGGGGAGAGGTGAGTATGAACAGCTGAGGGGTGAGCCCCTGCAGGCCTCTATCTTTGCACGTGTCTCTCACTGTGTCCTGACCACTCAGTGACATGGGCATGTGAGGTCCCCACTGAGGCTAGAGGCCCTGCTCTCTGCAGTCTACTCAGCAGCAGAGCCAGGTTTAACACAAGGAGAAGCCAGAAACCCTGGGACTCCCTTGAAAATGAAGCTGCACCCAGATGCCTCTGGGGACCAGCTGCCCTGCCTACAGGTAAACTTAAGTAGGCCCAACAGACATGTGTGCACCAGAAAGTGCTCTGCCACCCAGGATTGCACCCTCCCCAGTGTGCTAGCCTCAAGTTCACATAGCAGGACAGGCAGACAGACATCTGGACCTGGAAAGTCTTCTGTATTTCCCTGGTGGTGGGAACATCCTGGGCAGACGACAAACACAGCAAATGATGCTCTAAACATCCAATGACCATGACAGAAAATGAGCCTCCACACCTCTCATTTAGTTTTTCACCTCATGAATTCTAAAATGAAACCTAAAATAAAGCATCAAAAACATAAATGTTGAGTCAAAATATAAATCACATGGAAGACAATTTACAAAATGTTTCTAACTTGGAGTGACTCGCAGATTATGAGTGCATCACAACTATGATAGATAATAAAAAGATATAAGGTAATTTCTCCAAATTTCAAACATTTGTGATTCAAAAAATACATTTTCTTTTTTTTCTGACATGCAGACTGGACAGTGAGAGTGAGAGAGACAGAGAGAAAGGTCTTCCTTTACCATTGGTTCACCCTCCAATGGCCGCTGTGGCCAGCATAACATGCTGATCTGAAGCCAGGAGCCAGGTGCTTCTCCTGGTCTCCCATGTAGGTGCAGGACCCAAGCACTTTGGCCATCCTCCACTGCACTCCCGGGCCACAGCAGAGAACTGGACTGGAAGAGGGGCAACTGGGACAGAATCCGGCACCCCGACCGGGACTAGAACCCGGGGTGCCGATGCAGCAGATGGAGATTAGCCTATTAAGCTGCAGCATTGGCCAAAACACATTTTCAATGTGAAAAAACAGATTCAGAAAAAATATTTTAAAATCATGTATCTAACAAGATCCTCTGTCCACAAAATATAAGGAACACTTACAACTGAATAATAGGAAAATGAACAACTCAACCAACCAGGAGTCAAATATTCAAATGTGCATCTCTTCTAAGATAAGCCCAGAAAAAGTTGCTCAACATCATCTGGACCCAGGGAAAAGCAAAGGAAAGCCACAGTGTGAACCAACTCTCCCCTACTTGAGTGGCAGGAGTTTAAACAATGGGGAGGAACCAGAGTTATAAAGGATATGGACAAACAGACCTCACCCATTGATGGTGAGAGTGTGAAATGGTGCAGCCACTGTAGTGTTCAAGCAGTTGTCCCCAAATGGAGATATGAAGAGTTACTGTCGGACTCAGCTACTCCATTCCTAGCTCATACTCAAGATGACTGAAAATACTTGTACCTAGACAAAAGTACCCAGGTAGACATAAGTTGGTATCTGTTAATAAGAACCTAGGATATAAATGGGTTAAATTCTCCACTAAAGGATACCGACTGGCTGAATGGATAAAGACCAACACTCAAGATACTGCCTGGAAGAAGCCCATTTCAGACACACATTACATCAGGATAAAAGAATCTGTCAGAAAGAGCATCTAACAACTGCAAATACATACATGCACCTGAAAACAACACCACCTAAGCATGGAATACAAACAATATTGGTTCTAAAGGGAGGTAGAGACCCCACAACAATAGGAGCTGGGGACTTCACCATCAGGTTATCTAGGCAGTCCAGAAGCACTAGACTTATGAAGTGCTACAAACCAAACGGACTCATCATTTGTGGAACGCTGCCTCTGGATCCTCAACTGCAAGACAGTGCTTAACCACAGAACCTAACTCTATCACTTTTGGGAAGAACAAATTGATTAAATGAAAAGAACATGGAAGAAAACCTGGTCATAACGAGCACACAACATACTCATCAATGCTGTGGGTGATTCATATTGGTATTAAAAAAGAAATCAAAACAGAAGAAAGACTGAAATCTAAGACCTGAGCCTTTGAAACAATTAGAAGAAAACACAGGGGAACTGCTTCCGGACAGTGCTACGGGCAAGGATTTCTTAGATCAGATCCCAAGAGCACAGCATACCAAGCCAACTAGCGGACAAATGGGATTTCAACAAATTAAAGAGCTTCTGCACACCAAAGGGAACAATATGTGCCAGCCAACATCTGGCATAGCAGTTAGTAAAGTCAATATAAAACACAACTAACAGCAAAAGCAAAAAACCAACAATAAGTAAGTCAGATTAAAAATGGCCATAGATAGAAATAGACATTTGGTAAAGGAAGACATGTCAGTGGTTCTATTCCACAGCACAGGGAGGAACTACAGATACTGTGAAATACTGGACAAAAGTGCTCATCACTGATCTCAGAGAGATACAAAGCAAAACCACAATAGGATACCAAAGAGACGAAAGATAACAAGTGAGGATGTCTGTGGAGGGGAGGGAACACTTGGCACTCTGTGGGTGGGAATGAAGATCTAGCAAAGCAGTAAGGAAGTTGCTCAATAAACAGAAACTACAGCCACCATCCAGTCCAGCAATCCCACTACCTGGTGTACATCGAAGGGAAAGGAAGTTAAGTCTGTGGAAGAAAGATCTGTGCCCCCAATTTTACTGCAGTCCTGTTCCCAGTAGCTAAGGAATGCAAACAACCTACACATCCATCCACCATGGATGGAAAAAGAAAAAAAGGGGTACGTGTACACATAGGAATACTACTCGGCTATAAAAAAGGTTGAAATCTTGTCATTTGTGGTACCATGGGAGGATCTGGAAATCACTGGGTTAAGTGAAATCAACCAAGCACAGAAAGACAAACACCACATGACCTCACTCACACGTGGAATCCGGCAGTTGTCAGAGGCCGGGAGGCAGGTACGAGGGCAGTAGGCAGGGACGGACTAGTGTGAGTCACAGCTGACAGAGCAGGAGTCTCTGTGCTTCTGCTGCACGGGAGAGGACAAGGCTGATGCCCTGTGTATCTCCCTAGGAAGGCAGACACAGCCCTGCAGTGTGGCGTTTGCTTCCCCACAGGAACAAGCCCAGTGAACTCGGGGGACAGAGGAGGTGGAGGTGGGGAGCAAGGGCTTCTGCCCCTCTGCTTACTTCTTGCAGGTCAACCTACAAAGGTGAAAGTCCAGGGCGATCAAAGCATGGACGCACACAGTCCTGACCCTGTGATTCCCCACAAGCTCAGGTTACACTCAGGTCTGAACTCATGCAATCCTAAGCCCTACAAACCAAGAACCCAGATAAGATGATCTGGGTGAAGTTCCAGGGATGCTGGGAAGGGAGATCCTGCCCCAGTTCCCTCTCCTCACACAGTGACACACAGCAATGGCGGCCACCGCAGCTGTAAGTGTGCAGGTGTAGAGGCTCAGGTTTCAGGGCTTTACAAGGAACGCCTTCTGCAATCCTGAAAACTCGAGGAGGGGACTCCTATGCCCATTTTGTAGCAGGGAAATTGAGGCACAGGACAGGGAATCCACATAAAGCCACGTCACTTCTCACAGCAGAGTCCTGTCTCTCCAGCTCCTCATTAATCTGGTTCCACTCCTGTACCCCTGCCCCAGGAGCTCTCCTCTAGGCACCGTGGACACCGGACACAGATCAGATCGATATTGGCCCAGGGCACCCTGGGCACTGTAGGGTGTGGGGCAGCATCTCTGGCAACCACCTGACCCAAGCCAGGAGCTCCTCCCAGAAGTGCCAACCACAGTGTTCCTTAAGGAGACACAATCTCCACAGCTAGGAACCAGGGCCCCATGGACAATCTTTACTCAGTGGACAAAGAAACTGTTTTTTAATATTTTTCATCAATTTTCATTTGACTTGAAAAGCACAAAGAGAAGCAGAGCTCCCATCCGGTGGCAGGGACCCAACTGCTCGAGACACTGCCTGTGCCCCCCAGAGACACGTCAGTGGGAAGCTGGATTGGAAGCAGAATACTGGCAGCCAAACCCAGCACCCTCATGGGGGATACAGGCATCCAAGCTGGCAAGTTGACCTCCTGTGCCACAAAACCCTCCTGCAACAAAGCTTTTAAAAACAAATCCAGCGGCTGGCACCATTACCTGCAGTGCAACCATCCCTTATGGGCACCAGTTCAAGTCCTGGCTGCTCCACTTCAGATACAGCTCTCTGGGAAAGCAGAAGATGGCTCAATTCTTTGCACCCCTGACCTGCATGGGAGACACAGAGGAAGCTCCTGGTTCCTGGCTTCCAATCAACCCAGCTCCAGCTCTTGGAGCTACCTGAGATCTGAACGAGAGGATGGAAGACCTCTCTGCCTCTGCCTCTCTGTAACTCTGCCTTTCAAATAAATAAATAGATCATAAAAAAAAAACTTTAAAAAACAAAAATACCTAACACATGCACTTAAAAAATAAAAATCAAAGAACCAATGTTGTGACATGGCAGGTCAAGCCACCACCTGCCAGGCAAGCATCCTAAATGTGCAAAAGTTCAGGTCCCTAATGCTCCATTTCTGAGCTGGCTCCTTGCATATGTGTCTGTAGGCAGCAGAAAATGGCCCAAGTACTTGGATGTCCCAGCTTCTCACTTCAGCCTAGCCCAGCCCCAGCCATTCATGCCATCTGGGGAGTGAACCATTAAATGGAAGATTTCCCTCTGTATCTCCTCTCCCTCTCTCCTGGGGAGAAAAAATGTTTGCCGAGACCCACACTAGCTCTCCCTGGCTCCAGGTTAAAACCCAGAACCACTCCCTCTGAATAAGGCCTGGAGCTCCAGGTTGCCCCAAAGCTGCCAGGCACCTGTTCCCCCTATGCCCGCAATGTTACTCCCAGAGAACTCCCAGAGGCACAAGCTCCCAAACCCCCCACATCAGATCCAGTCCTCTATCATCAAGTTCCCTGGAGCTCCCATCACAGTCTGCCATGTGCATTTAAGGAGGGGTGGGAACAAGAGCTGCTGTGCCCATGTCTGCTGCTAAGAGCCTGGCTTCAGTTCTAACCATCTTGGGTTAGAGCCCTGGCCCTTCCACTCGTTGGGCAGGCACCGCGGAGCAAGCACACCCTGCCCCGCTCTGAGCCGCCATTTCCTCACTTATCAAATGGGCTCACTCCACATCATCACACAGAGAATGGAAGGGTAACACAGTACTTGATGTGGCTCCCTGGGAGTTCGGATACTCAGCAGCCTCTTTGATCATTTCTTTTTCCAAAGATGGCCAAAAAAAAAAAAAAAAAAAAAAAAAAAAAAGATGTCCCAGTTGGGTGACATCAGAATTGCCAAGAACAGAGAGCTGGGAAATCTGGGTGCCCGGCAGAGAGGGAACAGGTGATGCTTGCTCACCCCACTCCACGCTGCGTGAGGTGCGACTCTCCATCCTGAAGGTGCCTGCAGAGGTGCCTGCCCTGCACAGCTGGTTCTATGACACAGATGTATCATCTCACCACACCTGCAGGTCAGGAGCCCAGGAGCTGCAGGCTCAAGGTCTCTCCTGAGGTTATATGGGCCCATCTGGTACCCTGCCATCTCGGTTCCTTGTGGCTGTAGGGCTGCATCCCCATTTTCTGCCTGGCCTGGGTGGTTAGCTCGGATGCTCGTGTGGGCTGAGCTGATGTATGGTCAGGTTCTCGGTCAGGTCCAGGAGGACTCTCGGGTCCCCTCAGGCATTGGCTGACTCACGCAGTGCCACCCACATCATCTCTCTTTACACTGATGCAGTGGCTGATTCAGGGCCCTCCACCACAGCTGCAGAGTCTGTCCCAAGATGGGGCACCACAGGAGAACAACAACGTGGGGTGAGACCCAGGAGCAGGTGGCACCTGTGGGGCATGGGCAGACATCCTGGGGTTGGAGGATAGGCAGTGAGAGCCAAACAAAGGGAGGGTAGGCTGTCCAGGGAGCAGCAGCAGTGAGCACCCAGGCAGGCAGACAGTGCAGCCAGGGAGCAGGAAGCCTGGACGGAGATGTCTCCCAGGATGCAAGATAGCTCAGCCCCTCACAGGCTGTCACCAGGAAGATCCAAAGCTGTGCCCTCCGGTCAGGGAACCACAATGTGACACAGCAAGGCTTCGGGGGCAGAGAAACAAGGCTGGAGCAGAAGTGACAGTGGCGAAGGATCCGCAAGGCCCAGGACCTGGTTAGGAGTCTCCCTGATGCTTGCCAGGCCTATGGCAGGTGCTGAGACAGCCCCAAATGTCACTATCCTAGCACCTGTGGGCCAGGCCTGGTACAGCACCTGCTGGCTTCCTTTAAGTGAGCAAAGTCCACAAAACATGGAAATTTGGAGCACACACCTCAGCTACATTTAGAACATTCCCATGGTTGGACAACCCTCTTCATCCTGTCTCAAGTCAGGGTCCCAGCCCACCTTCCTTGGCCTGTGCACTACTCAGCCTGCTGTCCGCTCCCCCTGATCCCGATGAGCCATACAGGCTGAGGGAGGACACAGGCAGCTGGGCCTGGGCGTCAGGGCGCTCATCTGCCCGCAGGACAGCACAGAGCCCACCCGCAACCCTACATGCCATTTAGGATGCCCAGTACACTCAGGCGCCACTGGAATGGAGAAGCCACCTTTCTGCTTAGCTTGCCTCCTTCTTTTTCTTAATAATACTGCAAACCTCCAAATAATAAGATAAAATACAGTCAAAGAAATGTCTACTTAATTTCACCTACTTGAAAGGTAGAGAGAGAGACATACGGAGAGAAGTCTCCCATTAACTGGTGCACTTCCCAAATGCACACAACCACCAAGATAGTACCAGGCAGAAGCCAGGAGCCAGAAACTACATCTGCTTCTCCCATGTGGGTATCAGAGGCCCAGGGACTCAGGTCACTGAATGCTTCCCCTCAGTGCATCCAAGGGGAGCTGGATCAGAAGCAGGGCAGCCAGGTCTTCACCTGGCACCCAGATAAGAAATGGGGTTGCCCCAAGGGGAGGCTTAACCCTCTGTACCTTGAGACTCTCCAATTTACTTTGTAGGCTGACCAAGAATGCAAAACTACTAGGGCACTGGTGAAATGAGCTTCCACTTTTCTATTTTCCTATGGGTAATATTATTTTAAAGATTTCTTTATTTGAAAGAGTTACAAAGAGAGGCAGAGGCCAAGAGAGAGAGGTCTTCCCACTGGGTCACTCCCCAAATGGCAGCAACCGCCAGAGCTGAGCCAACATGAAGCCAGAAGCCAGGAGCTCCTTCCAGGTTACCCACATGGGTGCAGGGGCCCAAAGACTTCTGCCATCCTCTGCTGCCTGTCCCAGGCACATTAGCAGGGAGCTGGACTCAAAGTGGAGCACTCATATAGGATGCAGGCACTGCAGGCTGGGGATTTAACCCTCTGCACCATTGTGCTGGCCTCATCTATGGATAATCTTAACCACATAAGTTGCAACAGATATATTGTAAATATTAATTGCATACAAATACACAATGCTTAACTTGGGCACCTTCAAATCTATTGATATTATTTATATAAAAATACATGTCCCCTTTATAAACGGTTTTATGAACAGGTATGAGATCACCCTGGATAATCTTCCCAGTGAATCAAAAATGTAATCCGTCCTCCTGTGTTGTCAGAACAACCGCGGAAAGCACACTGGGGACACTCAACCAACACCAGTGCTCACGTGACTGAGGCAGTCATCTTGCACAACAAAGACTTCCTTCCAGGATCCAGTAAAAGCAGGAGGCTGGGAGATGAAGAAGTTCTAGAGAATAAAGCCACAGCCTGCAAACCCTCACATCCCATGTGGGCACTGGTTCCTGTCCTGGCTACTCCAATTCCAGTCCAGCTACTTGCAAATGATCTGAAAAAAAGTAGAGAAAGAGTGCCCAAGTCCCTTGGGCTGCTGCAACCCACAAGTTACTGGGCACAAGCTGTTGGCATAGGTCTGGCCCCGGGAGGCCACTGCCACCATCTGGGGAGTGAATCAATAGATGGAAGATATCTCTGTTTCTCTCCCTCTTTTTGTAACTGTGACTTTCAAAAAGAATAAATAAATTTTTTTTAAAGAATTAGAAATTCTAGAGACACAGAGAAGCCTGAGGGCAGATCTCCCATGCGGGATTCTCAGCACAACAAAAGGATATGGAAGAATCACAGAGTGCAGGGGCAGCGCAGCCATGTTCTTGTCAGCCATTCAGGGAGAACCCTACAGGAGGAAGTCATGCATCGCCAACAGGATACACACCCGGCACTCACCCCCTGCCCCTCCTACATGTCCAGCCCTGCCTCCTCAGCCAGCTGCCTCCATGGCCTAGCTCCTCCAAGTGCACCCTGTACTTTGGTTAACATCAACACCTGTCCTTCCCTGAATAACGCAGCAGGTGGACAAAGAGCAAAAACTGGAGTCTGTTCCTCCAATCAACTCTCCACAAACCCTGCACATTCAGGTCATTCCTGTGTCTCCACGCCCAGGCCACAGATGCCAAATGGCCCAAAGGACAATTTTACACTTGAGACGCAGCTCCTGATCTACTGGGGGCTTGCTGTCTACAGGAACTGAGCCTGGTGACCCAGGGCCCACAAGTTATTCGGTGGTGACCCCCAAATCTCCTGCTGTGGGCTGCAGACACACACCACAGTGGAGACTGGGGAGTGACTGTCCTGGTGAGACTGGAAAGAGTCTGAGGTCTGAAGGAGGAAGATTCTGAGCCAAAGATCCCAAGTGAAGCCCTGCTCCCCACTCACACACACCTGACCAGTGTCCTACTGGACTCACTGCCAGCTGGCCCCTGCTGACTCCCAGCATGCTTGGTGGACCCTCTTCAGCCAGCTCCCAAGACCACCACTCTCCAGCCCAGTATTCCTACCCAGCCTGACTGCTTCCCCCATGAGTGCTCCCACCTTCAATAGAGACCCCTCCTCTTCCTCTCCCCAACACCGGGCCTGCTGTCTCACTTAGCCAAACCATCCACAGCAAACACCAGCACAGCCCTTAGCATGGCCTGGACATGGCCAAGCATTGCACACGGGAACTCCTGAACTGCCCACAGCAGCCCTTTGGGGGCCCCTTGTGAGACTCCTCACTGCAGCATTTAGGCAACTGATGCAGAGAGATGAAGGGGCTTCCTCGTGTCCTGCACCCAGAAGTGAGAGAACACACATTCAAACCTACCAATGAAGCGCTTTTGTCTGCAAGTTTGGTCTCAATACAAATCAGACAACCACAACCACTGGCCAGAATTTGGCACCTTTGATCAGAACGTCC